TCATGAGTAACTTGTGCGCAAATTCTTTTCGGTGCGGATCATGTTACTATCATGTATCAACATATTTATTGCTGCAATGTTACTACTACTTTGATCACATATCGTTGCTACCGCCTTTATAGAAATATTATACTAAGAATCATTGATAATTACTTATTTTCAGTATTAAAAATACTGGATAATAAGTAATTATCAATGATTCTTAGTATGATATTTCTATAAGGGTGAAATATGTCATATGTGCTGAACTCTGCTTACGCCTTCAGATCTCTTATATTCGGTCTTATATTCGGTCTATTCTTATATCAATGAACTAAAGCGTTAGGCACATATATACGTAGCTTTCGATTGCTTATGTTATTCTTTTTCTGTGGTTCATACAGAGTTCAGTGTCAGAATCCATGTGGATCGTCACACAAATAGACAAAGCGTCTCTGCCTGCGTAAGCGCAGAGAGAAGAACGCTGCATCTTAGATCTGGCTGCATCTTAGATCTGCGCTGCGTGCCTGCATCGAAATTCTATCAGTGATGGGGCCGCGTCGAACATACACTGCCATCTAGCGTCTGTCCTAAACCGACGCGTACTACATTGCCGACGCTTTCGAAGTTTGCAATCGCGTACACCATCCCCTTAAATGCCGAAATATCAAGTATTCATTTGACAGCTGGATGCACTAAAATAATAGTGAAATTTTTGAAAGATATCATAAAAGATATTAAGGATGAAAGAGAGAAATACGTTGCTCTGCTGTGAGATGAGATGTCGTTACAACCTTCTTTGTCATAAGATAAGGCAAAAGATAAAATAATTGGATTCGAAGACTGCGGCATGAGAAGAACTCGGAAAATAGTTAATCATGCCATAACTTTTTATTTAAGATGTTTAAAGACAGGTAATAAAATATCTTTAGGATATGGATTTGCGAGAGTGCATCTTAAGACATTTCAATTAGGACGTTGTAAAAGAAATGGCTATCACATCTTATCTGTGGACTAATACCGCCCTTATAGAAATATCATACTAAGAATCATTGATAATTACTTATTATCCAGTATTTTTAATACTGAAAATAAATAATTATCAATGATTCTTAGTATAATATTTCTATAAAGGCGGTAGCAACGATATGTGATCAAAGTAGTAGTAACATTGCAGCAATAAATATGTTGATACATGATAGTAACATGATCCGCACCGAAAAGAATTTGCGCACAAGTTACTCATGACATAATTAAAATATGTAATGTATGTATATAATAACAAATATAATATGATATATATGAACAATATGAATACATAAAATAATGTGTAAAAATTTTTATATAGAATAGTTTTATCATAAAATATCGAGAAATTATCTCTCTTTTTGATTATGTACATTTAATCAAAGGAATGAGAAACAATATTTTAACAAAAGACTTGGATATGAATACAAACAAAATATGCCAGGAAGACAAATACGTATCTTGAACTCATATTGTCACATGTTATAACATTGATAAGGACAGTTTCTTAAAACAACGGCAATTACCAAAAATAACGGGGAAACATATTAACCTAAAATTAATATCAAAAATGAAAGTAAAATATGCTTCTCAGATTTTCAGTAGCACTTTCTCAAATTTCATAGATGACCTGTTAAATTTAAGTAAAGGTAAGACGATAAGAAATTAGTAAAATATAAATATATAAAATTAATAAAAATAAAATGTGTTTCATGAATATATGTCCTATAAATAGCATTTAACATTTTAAGAGTTGTCGAGACACAGACAGGTACCATTGTATTATCAAAAAGCGCTGCAAATACTTCTGATATGTTACTTTTCTTTAATAATTTGTTCGATTCATTTAATGGAAAATCAAGACAAGGATTAAGTAGTACAATTTTTGCTAACAGTGGACATATTCATTTTTGGCAACAAGCTTGTTGAACATTATTGAATATGTAATTATCAATTCGTTGATAAAGAGACTCGAAAGGTTCCTAAGGAAAATAATTCAAAATGTTTGAAAAACTGGATATGGACAATAAAAGCTGCGCAAGAAATATGGAAAATATTACATCAAAATAATTTTGAATCGCTAAATTTAAAACTTTTAAGCCAAAATGTGCTTGAAAATTTCTTTAGCCAAATAAGAAACAACGGATGTGCAAATAAAAATCCAAGTCCCGTACAATTTCAAGAAGCGTTTAAATCGCTACTTATCTGTAATTTTACTTCAAAACATTCTATTGGAGCCAATTGAACAGAAAATAATGAAGGAACTACGTTTGCCCTATCTCAATTAATAAATATTAGCAAGCAAATAAAAAAAATGTACTCCAAGGAACTTGATAAAGAAGATTATACGGAAGCATTGGTATCTGAAGTTACAGAAACTAAAATTATATTACATCCTGAGGAAATTATTAACCGTGTTCGCCATAACAAAACAATTGTGAAGAATGCGTACATCATTTAGAAAATGCAAATATTTTTCATTTTGTACAAGATGCTACAGATATTTTAGAAAAGACATTTATGAACATTAGTTATGAAAACTTTCGGAGAAATTAACATATATTTTTAAAAGACAAATATCTTACATTTTTTCTTCGCAATGCACGCACATGAAAACAGTTTTGTTACAAATAATTATAACAGAATTTATTACAGTCGTGTATATTTATTAACAGAATATTATGCAGAAAAATAGAAATACAATCTGCTAACTATCTTTATAATATAGCGAAAAAAATATCTACAACGTATGTAAAAAAATGTAACAAAAATAAAATTGAAAAAATAAACCCTTATAGAAATATCATACTAAGAATCATTGATAATTTTATTTTCAGTATTAAAAATACTGGATAATAAGTAATTATCAATGATTCTTAGTATGATATTTCTATAAGGGTAATATTAAGATATTTGTACAGTATTCGCTTTATTTTAATTTGAAAATTTCCAAAATAGTTATAATTACATATTCGAGATCACAACCATGAGTCACATATTTTTACCGACCAATACTGTCATTTTAACTCATATTTCACGGGTTCAGACTTTTAGATGGCGCTGCAAACACTATACAAATTTTTAACACGGGAGTTTGATAACCCTGGTCCTATGGAATATTCCAAATATTTTTGAAGAATATTCTTAAAATATTCATAGGATTATCTTCTGCTATTTGTGTTGTAACCAACCTATAACCTCTCACACAACGTGCAATATTGCAGAAATATTACAGTAATATTACAATATTGTATTAATGTTGCAGTAGGAATGAAATATCAAGGATATATTATTGATGAGATATTACATTGCGATATATAACAGTGTAATATTGCAGTAGTATTACTACAATATTACAACACGATATATCATTATGTAATATTTTTGTAATATTGTATTATATTAGGGTGCGATATATGACTGTGAGATATATTACTATAATATTTCACAAATATTACCATGTTATATATTGCAGTATATTATTAAAGCCGGGCTACAATAAGTCGCAAACAGCATCGCGGGTTACAAGTCGCAAGAAATAAAACAATCACAGTCGCATGTGAGGTAAATAATTATTGTCATTAGTCAATTTCTTGCAACCCTCGATGCTATAGACCGAATTTTGCGACTTATTGTATATTGTACAATATGCAACTGTGATTGGTCAATTATAATTTATATGTGCGTTATAATTGTAATAATTTGCAATAATTAATTAATATTTATTAATTTCAAAATTGATGTAAGTTTAGTAAAGCTAAGGTTCTGGATTGCCCGAGGTTCAATTTCAGTTAAATAAAAAAAATTTTTTTCCAAAATTTAGACGCAATTTTAAAATTAAAATTTAACTTACATTGAATATTAATTTACATATGAAAAATATTGTTTGTTTATTTGTTTATCTTTATTTCTATTACTACCTAAAGTAGCACGTGAAGCTTTAAAACAGCTGTGATAACATTGTCGCAACTTAAAGAGGTTAATAATGTCTTTATAAATATGTCTTTATAGCAAAATATCTGTGCAGCAAAATGATTGCGGCTACGTTTTCAAAAGCTAAAAATGTTGTTCCATTTTTGCTGCTACAACGTTATCAAAACATCGTAACCACGTTGTGGCAGTTCCTGTATTAGACAAAAATTCTGCGGTTTAAGCTGCGACAATGTCATCGCAGTGTTGTAAAGTTTCACGTACTACTTGAGCAGAGTTATCGCGTCGATAAATAGTGTAAATTATTACCTGCATATGAAACATGGGAAATGGTAGAACTATCGTAGGTATTCCGACGATGCACATCGTAGGATGTTCAATATTGACGAGATGTTTGTAAAGTGGCATTACATAATTATCGTCCACTCGTATGCCACAATTCTCATCCAAAAAAGGAAAACTGTATTTGTACCCAGTGCACATAATGAAAGCGTCAGCATTAACCGTGGATTTGTCTTTAAGGTAAAAAGTAGTTCCATTTATACTATCGACTCCCATGACTTGTGTCATATTCGATGGTAAAACACCTGTTAATCTGACAGAAGAATATAACTGAAGTGAAGAAAAGACAATAGTAAAAAGAAAACCGTCTTGCTTACCGAGACGAAAGTGAAAACGTTATCATTCTTTACTAATTTTAACCAGCTAAATATAGTGATGCTACTAGAATTATGCGGAAACACCGGGAACATCTTCCATTTTGAAGTTAAAGTTGTATTTCTCCATACAGCATAGAAGCTTGCAGCAACATTGCCACAACGTTGCAAGATTGCATATTGCAGTGTAATATTGCAGAGATATTGCAGTGACATTAATTTGCAATATTAATTTAGCGATATTGCAGAAGTATTTCGAATATAATATAAAAAATATTACAAATATAATATAACTTTTACTAATTTAATAGTTATTCTGTTACTTGTATTTCAAATTCAGTAATGTTTCACGTCTATAGTTCTTATAGTATAGTACTTAGAATAGTACTTGTTAGTGACAGTTATTAATACTAGAATTTGTTTTATTAGATATTTCTTATACTTCTTATACCATTTTTTCCGAAAAAAAATCTTTAGATTTAATATTCATACTTGTTTAATATATATTTTGGTTTGTTTCATTAAAATATTATATTCTTAAACGAAATATCGTTTTTTTCAATGATGAAAATAAAAACTTGTATTTCGTTCAAGGAAACCATGTCATTTGATGAAACAGCATTATTGATTTAAATAGCATTTTTTAAAAGTTCTTTTTTTCAAAATTCAGTAATTCGATTTGTTTTTGTAATTCATTTGGATTTTCTTGGATTTTTTATTTTTTTATTTGGATTAATTATTATAACATTTTATTAAAATCTAAAAGTAATTAACACTGATTCACTATATTATATCAATATTCATCGCAAATCGAATGTTGTTGCATTTCCATACAACACAAAATGTTGAAAAAACATTAATGAGACGTTGCAACGTTGAAGATAGAAGTGCGAATGTTTTTTCTGCATAAAATTTATGTTGATTTTTCAACATTAATTACAAGATATAGCTGCAATGTTGAATATATATTGAACAAAAGCTACAATATTTTGCAATGTTGCAACAATATTTGAGGAGCATAGAAAATTATTAATAATATTAATGAAGAATTTTTTATTATATATTTAATAATTTTATTATATATTTAATAATAATAAAATTTAATAATAATAAAATAAATTATTATTAAATTTTATTATATTAATACATATATATTATTCATATTATATTATACATATTATATTATACATGTTATATTCATATTATATTAATACATACATAGTCATATTATATTACAATATACCATAATCATATATATTTTTCTTATTGTTTATATGTAAAATTGAAATGCGTTTAAGCAATTTTGCGCAAACCCTGAAGAATATTCTTTTATTTCATAATATTCTTTATTATATAGAGTCTGATGCAAGCTATCGATAACAAAAAATGCATAAAAAACATTAAACTGAAAAAAATGGTCAAAGTCATTTTGCAACCCTTATAGAAATATCATACTAATAATCATTGATAATTACTTATTTTCAGTATTAAAAATACTGGATAATAAGTAATTATCAATGATTCTTAGTATGATATTTCTATAAGGGAAATAACCACATAAACTTTAGAGATATTAAATAAAATAGATAGACGCATCAATGCGCGTATTTACTAGGTACGTTATAATATACGGTGAACACTATAAATACACATTATATAAGCATAAATGACAGATCCAATATGACGTTTATGTGTGCGAAAAGTCATTGATTTTGCTAGGAGAAAAAAGTAAATAATACAAAACATTATCTATCTTACAAAGATCGTTCAATAAGTCCTTAAAAAATCTAAGAGAAGGCGCTCGTACTATCGAAAAAGGTTTGCTTTTAGTAAGCGTTATCTCTCACTAGACTGCTATTAAAGTTTCAGCTATATCCATCACATGATTTCATTTTCATAGTCGATTGAAGCAAAAAAATTCTGTTTATTTAGAAAAATGGAAAAAAATGAGTTTCGTGCGGTGATTAAACACTTCTATTTAAAAGGCTTAACACCGAAAGAGATCAAAGCCGAGTTGTATGAAGTTCATGGCACATCTGCTCCTGTGTTTGCGACTGTTTACAATTGGGTAAATGAGTTTAAACGTGGCCGTACATTCACAAATGATGAACATCGTTCGGGACGTCCAGTGGAAATGACTTCCTCCGAAATGATTGACAAAATCCACGATATGATTTTGAGTGATCGACGAATCAAAGTGTGCAAAATAGTTAAGGCCACAGGCATATCACAAGGTACAATGTTTTCAATTTTGCGAAAAATTGAGTATGAAAAAAATCTCGGCAAGACGGGTGCCGTGTTTGCTCTCAGTGGAGAATAAACGCAATCGTGAGATCAATTCGGAGGCTGGTTTGGCGCTTTTCCGTCGCAATCCTGACGAGTTTTTGCGTCAATACATAACTGTGGACGAAACATGGATACACTATCACACTCCAGAGACAAAGGAACAGTCGAAACAGTGGGTTTTTAAAAGCAATCCGGCTCCGAAGAAGGCGAAGACGGTGAAATCGACCGACAAGGTGATGGCCATGGTTTTTTGGGATGCACGCGGAATTATCTACATCGATTACTTTGAAAAAGGACAAATGATAAATAGAGAGTATTATGCGTCGTTATTGCACCGGTTGAGTGAAGAAATCAAGAAAAAACGTTCTCGTTTGGCAAAGAAAAAAATTCTCTTCCATCAAGACAATGCACAGATGCACCTGCGCAGTTTCGATGGCGAAAATTATGGAATTAAAGTTCGAATTATTATTATTACATTCACCGTATTCACCAGATTTGGGCCTCAATGACTTTTTTTTATTTCCAAACTTGAAAAAATGGCTTGGCGGAAAACTATTCACGTCGAACGAGGAGGTCATCGCCCAAACAGATGCCTATTTTGAGGACCTTCCGAAATCCTACTTTTTGGACGGCTTAAAAAAGTTGGAGAAACGCTGGGAAAAATTTATCGAGCTAAAAGGAGATTATGTTGAAAAATTAAAAAAAATCTACCCAAAATAATTTGTTTTTCTATCTTTTTCTAAGGACTTATTGAACGACCCTCGTATATTTTACTAGGTGTTCAAAGCTAACTACTCACACAGCACATCTTTCAAAAAGCTTTCCGAAAAATAACTTGAAAATTATATTAAAATATAATATTGAAATAAATCAGAAATGTTTGTGAAATTTTCATCAAAATCTTTTTCACTAAAATATTTCAAAAATCGCTTCCCCGATAGAAATCCATGACAATCACAGTATGTGATAATTAATTTATGGCAACTTTATATAACCCAATAGATTTCTATTACAATAATAGTATGTGATAATTAATGTTTGTCAAATTTATGGCAACTTTATTTATATATAGAAAATTAAATGGATTTACCTAAAATAAACAAATTAATATATTATTGTGATTTAAATTCTTCATTATAATAATACGGCAATACATTTATTATTAATGTATCCCACATTTACCTATTGTCTGCTTGAAAAATAATGTTTAAATAATTAATATTATAAGTGATTTAAACATGACAAAATTTTATAAGACACGATTGCATCAATATTTGAGTTCATTTTTTAAATTCAATATGAATGTCTAAAAAAGCTTTATTTCTTACGATTAGAGAAATAGTAAACTTGATATAAAGGACCTCGCACAAAACCTATGGAAAATGGTTTTTGGTCCAAATTGGCTGAAATTTCACTATGTTATAGTTTTCGCCATGCTGATAAAAAGTTATCATTGCACCAAGTCCCAAAAGTCAATATTTCTCAAGATATAAAGGGTTAAAGTAGTGAAATATGGTCATCCGCAGTAGTAAGACGTATATTATAAGTGATACATTGATATTTATTCACGAAATAAATACAAATCAATTTTTACACACACATATATATATATATATATATAT